AWGRARCWAAGTAAAAGAATGAAAGCCAAAAAGGAAATAGCATCCCTCAGAAATGTCCGAGTATGGGGACTGAGTATGTCCCCTTGCAGARACCTAGCACAGCTTTTCGACCTCCCCAAAGCACACTTCTACCTCTTTTGCCTGCAAAAATGCCAGCACACTATTTGACAATAAATAGGAAACTAGAGTAAGCATTCTTTGGCAGCTGGTATGCTGCACACAGTGAATGGCAAACAATGCTACCACTTCCAAAAGGATGTCAGACAAAACAGGATATTCTCATAGTGGATGAAAATTTTCCAGCCTGACTTAGAGTTGGCAGCCCTAAGTTGGTTCTACAGAGCCCCTTTAAAAAAAAAAAAAAAAAAAAAAAAAAAAAAAAAAGAAAGAGGGAGGTAGGGAAGGTAAATTACCTGTGCAGTGAATTGTTCTGAGAGCTGCTGATATTTTGGGGAGGCTGGGTCACTCAGCTCCTCACTGTACTTCTCTCCAGCGATGGTGATGCTGAACTCAATGATCTGCTCGGTTACAGGTTTCAGTAGCTGCTCATCCTCCTTCTTTATCTCATTATTGGTCTGCAGGGGAAGGGTAAAGGGAATAAACGAGAAGCCATTTAATGCCTTTTAGGTATGTTATGCCCCTTGACTCTTTGATTTTTTCCCAGGAAATAAATTGTTACTCATTACAGCACGTAAAAAGAATACAGATGTCTATATGTACATATGACTTGCTATCTGTCATCAGGATGTGTCCTCAGGATGTGTCTAAATGAATTCTTACATGAGCTAGAAACTTCTCCAGCTCCTGGAGACTTCTTTGGCCCTTGATGTGACAGAGACCCTAAGCCCTCTCGGTAAATGCTGTACGGATTGGAAGGCACCAGGGCACTGCTTGTGGACCACAAAGATGGTCATGGATATATCTGATGACATATGAAAACTGCAGCCCAAAGCAGGGTATGCTGAGCCACCAGCTTACCTGTCTGCCTTGCACCCTAACGAAGGGCTCACGAAGCCTCAAGGACAGAGGTGGCAGCTAAGGAGGCAGTGGTTTAAGACAGCAAACTTCTGACTACTGCTTTGCTACTGGAAATTCTGTTTTCCATTTGCACACCTTCCATCTAACACAAGGCACATCTAGCTGACCACGGCTACAAACAAATTCAGCCGCGTGGGGTGTTCACAAGGCAAGTTTCAAGTGCACCACCAACAGCTCACGTGAGCCCTCATCTACCAGAGGGCTCCTACTTACAATTCCTTTTGGAAGRCTGCACAACAAGCTGTGCAGTTTGAGCAGTTAAGGACCCCATGGGATTCACTGCAGTCATCAGGAGAGCAACCAGGACCCCTGCAAAGCTGAACTGCCATCGACAGGTTGACAGCAGCCTGAGGAAGCCTGTGGCAGTGTCTGTGCAAGCCAGTAGGAGCTTGCAGGTACCACGACTGCCTTGAGCAGCACTGAATTCCAGTCCTAGCTTATTCTACATTGAGTGAGCAGGACACAGAGCACCTTTTGCCTATTTCCCTACTAATGTGCAACTAATTCACTATTTCTTCTTCTATAATGAAAGAGGCAAGAGGGGAGAGGAAGGGAGGAAGAAAAAAAAAAAAAAAAAGAGCAGTTTCACAGTTTTGTTCTTGAACAAATTTTCAGATATTTGAGAAAGGATGGGCTGACTTAAGCTAAATAACAAGTCTTTTGTTATTTATGCTATTTATGCATGACTTCTGTTTTTTTCTCTATTAAAAAGAAAAAGAGAGGCCAAACTTCAGACCTCTCTGGCAAAACTGTAACCTGTGCTATGTATAGCATAGGAAGAAAAAAAAACCTTTCTCCAAATAGCTTAGTGAATGACTTACATACTGTACAAAGGCTCTCTAGGTATTTTTAACTAAACTCTCTTCCTTCCCTACACCTTTTTTGACGGGATAACTTTGCTGAGATCTAGAACGAGTGGTACCCCATCTAAAGCAGTTGGCATCTGAGAGATGGATACTCATTAGGAAAATATATGCTGTTACTATATAGCTCTTTGCAACTCAGTGTAGTATCTGTCCCCCCAAAATAAAGCTATAGTCAACACGTGAGTGCTTAAGATGAAATTCACTGGCTCATGGTCTTGTAATTCACAACTCATTTTGGCTGTACAGAGCTTTGATGAGGTGTGATGTAACTGTATAAAGAGTGAAAATACTGTTGCAGCAGCAGCAAAAATCTCATTCTAGTTTCGTTCTGATTTACTGAGYGCTCACTGCTCAAGCAGAAATAATCCAGGCAGTTCTGTTTAAAGCAAGAATAATAGTGTACATGGGACCAAACCGTTCCTGGTCTACAACGTAAAATCAGAGCCTGGACTCACTCCTGGACTTAAGTCAAGAGTTTTCTGCCCATTTCATGTTGAATGCTCACTCTTGGAAGCCCAGTGTCAGARTCCCTGGAAGCTCTGGAGGAAAGCATGGAGTTTGACCCAGCTTTGCTCCATGGCCCTGCTAGTTTATAGCACTCTGCTCAGCTAAACACAGCTCCCGTTCACACACAACGCAGGCAAGTTTGAAAGCTCCTCAATAAATCTAGCGAGAGTTTTGTGTTTATATCAAAACAAAAGCCAGCTGATTCATAGCACTGGTTTGCAAAGTTTTCCTCAATGGTCATGTAGGCCAACATACACTGGAGTCTGGGCTTCACTTTGAATACAAAGGAGCTGTCTCCTGGAAGCCGGGAGCTGTGTGGTGGGCAGCACCCTGCAAGCCAACTCRCTTTTACAGCAGCACTTAAGAGCAGGCTGCAGGCCTCTCTGTGCAGAGTTTTGCTTTAGATACCAGGGGGAGGGTAACTGCAAGACCATAAATGAAAATCCATACGTGCTGGCAGAGCAAAGGGAGCAGGGAACTGGGAGGGGACTCAGGGCTATCCAGGCCACCTCTCCTCTTGTCCTGGGCCCAAGGCACTATRTGGACCCTTGCAACGTTGCCACAGCAGTTTGAAGGGCACCATGTTTCCACAGGAATAATGCTCCACCATTGTCTTAGAGCTTTCAGAAAGCCCAAAGCACTCACTGCTTTGGCCTGTAACTCTAGCAAAAGCTTTGCTTGGTAGCTCAAATGATTCCTGCTCTTTCTCTGTGAGGATACTCAATTGCAAAGCCACTACAAATGAAAGAAAATAGGCAATTTTCCTACAAACCCAGGCAATTATTTTAAAACTTTCTAAAGATCATGCTCTGGTTTTAAGAAATCCTAATCTGTGTCAGTACACCGCACTAGCAACACCTTTAAGCACAAGGAAATAGAAATGTCCATAAATTATGTTATTTAGAAAAGAGAAGAGAATGAGCCCAAGGAAAAAGTCACTCACAGCGGTGTCTGCATCTTGGACCTCACGGACAGTAGTGCCTGAAGGACTCTCAATGGAGACCCCATGAGGGGGAGGAACGTTGGCAGCCGCATCTAAGGATGAAAAACAACATTTTTTTTTTTTTTAATTCACACACACACATTTAGACACATTAGTTCAGCAAGTGCATATTAGCTAGCTAGCAGTAACACTTGATTCCTGGTCCCACCATCAAGATAGAAATCACAACAGAATAGCAACCAAAATAAAACCACACCTGAGGAGTCTGAAGAAGAGTATCAACTGCATCTATCCCAGGACGTAGTGTATTTCAGGGGAATATAAAGCGAGCTCAGTCAMAAATGTGCCTAGAACTAACTTCTTTAGTATGATTTCTGTGATTCATTTGATAAGCTCATAACGTCAACCCAAACCCCAATCTTCAAATCACAACTGGGATTATTAAAAAAACGCTATATCATTTCTTAATTTGCTATTGATTTAGAATCAGTCTGCATGGTGTTTGGAACTCACCTCTCAGTGTGGTAACATCAATAGTTGATGCTGGAGTTGGAGTCCCAGTACTGTTAAACAAAAATAAATAATTACATCTGAAATGGAAGTTGGACAGGGTGATATAGATGTTTTAGTTTTTGGTTTATGTGTGTTTCTACTGCCCCACCCAAAAAGCACATTTGCAGAATCATATCATAGTACTACTCCGCTGATAAATTTATTAAAATAAAACAACCACACAAAACAACACAAAAATAGAAACACGGCCTTCAGAATATTTTGCCTCTCCATGTCAATCTAGCTCTCTGGTCCCTCACATCTCTGTTACACATCCTGTGCTCCTCAGGGGATGCCAACCGTCTTCGTACTGCAAAGGACACGGGGTCATCAAGTAATTCTGCTCTGCAAATGAAGCCAGTGTGAAGACCACAAAGGCAAAACTCAGAGACACACCTGTAGTAGTCTACAAAATGCTCAGATTTTAAAATACAGTGCACTGAAAATCATAACAGTACTAAAATCATTACTACAAGATGGGCCCTTTTTGCCCACAGATTTTACCCTATTTATTTGGAGATCTTGAAAAGCCACAGGTTCAAAACTCAATTACTGCATTTGCAGACACACACACACACACATAACACCCCTAGGCCAAATGTGGAGAAAAACATTGCAGCCAAAATCAGATAGAGCTGTCAGTCTGAGGAGAAATCAACAGCTTTGGCATGGCTCTAAGAATAAACCCAGGAAGGAGCCTGCACTATGATATTCAGTAGAACTCGTGCCATCAAGCCCGTGCTTTCCTCGTCTTCCCAGGTGTGACTTCTGACTGACATATGTGACTACTGCACCTGCAGTCTCACCAAGGGTGACGGATACCCTCTCTCCATCAGGATGTATATAAACATAAGCTGTGTCACTCCTAAAACAAATGCCAGGCAGGCAGGCACATCAAAAGTTATATACTGATATACCTGGGTACAAGGCTAAGATAAAACATACGATAATTTCAGTGTGTTCATGTGTCTCAAACTTTTTTTCTCCCATTGCCTCTCACAGGATTGTTATGCACCAATTACAAAATTTTCATTAAAAAAAAATATAGCATCCATACGAACAAAGCAGAAAATATTGATTCAACAATTTCAACAGTACATTCACAYGCAACTAAAACCCCTGAGCTCTGTGGAAACCTTGAAATTAAGTTGGTTGTGTCTGTTTCCATCTCATGAACACTGCCACCTGTTTTCAGGTAATGTCACTCATAAACTTGTTAAAGAAATTATCATTTGGGGAGCAGCTTCCAAGCATCAGCCAAAACAATTACATGAAATGCACTGAAATGCAAAACTAGCAGACACAATGGCATTTGCTAAASTGCTCGTTTAAAATTGTCTCTGGACAGGAAAGACAAACTAGGGACATTTCCTGGACCTCAAGGAARGGAGTCACTCGGAACAGCTCGCAAGTAGCAAAGATAAGGACCATAGTAAACATCAAATGTCCTTGTCCCTTATGTAGACAGGCCCAAATCCAGCTGCCACAATGTAATGGTTTTTAAAAACATGACWTTTTTTTTTAGTCTCTCTGCTGCATCTTTTGAAATTTCAATAAGTCTTGGCCAGAATTCCAAGAACTGGAAGCAAGTCACTAGCAAGCAAGTATAATTCAGACAAGAATAATATCAGCAAGATACAACTGTGATAGCGGTAGCAGATGACAGTCATGAGTAAATTCATCCAAAATCATCCATTTCTTTCTACTAAAATACAAGGATTTAGATTTTCTTAAAAATGATTATTTTATAGAGATTTAGTTTTTCTATTTATTTCTCACCTTGAAACTATATTCTTAATTATTAATTGGTTAGATGAAGTACTTTCCAGTTAAATTTATTTATCTCTAAAGATGCATTAGTCTTAGCAGTTCTGATAGGCATTACATTATATCTCTACCAGTCCTGCTAATTTAAGGCATCAGTAACTAAAACATTTAAATGCTTTAGTTATTAAATTAAATATATTGACAACTTTAATATTTTTAACCTTTAATAACTTAATAAGTCAGCGAAAGCAACCAATGTGCAGCAAGCATCTTTTTTACAGCATTTGTTATATTCTGTTCATCTGAAGTGCTCAAAACCCTTAYATGAACATTAACTAAGCCTCAAACAAACACCTTTCTATTTAGAAGGGAACTGAGTGAAAAAAAGAACTTATTACAGTAAAATAAATTAGGTTCTGAGCTCAACCTAAGACTCATAGGACTTATTTCAATTGCTCATGCAGAGGCAGCCTCTCATGCAGCATCAGGGCCTCCAGGTGCTCCTCGGGCTTTCAGCTGCTGTCTCTGAGGATGCAGGTCTCCCTCCTGGATCAGGTGTTTCTAAATACAGACTCTTACTGGTACAGTGTTTTTGATACAAGCTCCCAAGTCCTAATCAAATTTCCAACAAAATTCTGGCTCACCTCAGGCTGAAAATTAAAAGCAAAAGAGTTAAACAAAACCTAGTAAAATCTCAATGAATTTAATCAAGCAAAACCAGCAAAGAATTGAGTTTGGTCAAGTTAAGAATCACCACTTTCTTCTCAGAGGACAAAAATACTGGTTTAAGAAACGGCATTATACCAATTTTATGCAGCAATATTCATTCTTTGTTGCCTCACCAGACCTGGGCCTCAGAACTGTGAGGTCTGCTTCCTTTTCACATCCATAGCCTTCTCCTTCTCCTTACAATTTTAACTTTCCAAATGCCGATTTTTTAATTCCTAGAACAGGAGCAATAGTACTAGATACTTCTAAGAAAACCATTCAAAACGGCCTTGACAACATATTACTGACTTCATCTCATAATGTCTGACTGAACACACTGCTTTTAAGGTGAACACAGATTCAATTTTCACTCTAGTTAGAGCTGAAAATATGGCGCTTATTTATTTTTTTAACCCAGCATTAGTCCCCAGGCCAGGCTTAACTTTCAGTTATACACACACAGCTGAGACACCCCAGGGTGGAGGACATGACTTCAGCAAGAGCTTTCTGTGAAGCTGAGACAAATAACATGCGACAAAGCAATTTCTGCTGTCCTGCTTGCATAAGTGGAGCCCTGGACCACCAGGATCTTGGCTGAGCACTAAGCAAAACATAAAAATACACACACATGTACGGAGGGGCAGGAAGCAACAGATACAAGCGGATTTCTAAGAATGAGCAACACTGCTCGTTTTGTTGGTGGAAAGCACATTTCAGATCACACAGGCTATTAAACACCTGAGCCCAGGCAGCAGTAAACAAGACCCACGTGGGTCTCARGAGTTGATCTAAAGCAAAAGATGCTTATGGGCAGCCTATATGTAGAGAACAACGGTACAACAAACAGTTCCCATTATATTCCTCTCTTTCAAATCCTTACATGCTTTCATGTGATATCAGCCATGTCACAAGGAGATGTGTGTTTCTGCAGTCATGACATGACACTGAGGAAAAGCACCACTCGACTTGTCAAACAATGTTTCAATAATGCCACTTATTTTTTTTTTCATGAAATATTATAAATATATAGTGTTTATAAAATAAATATTGCATTTTTTGTGCAATATTTAACTATCTCCTCAACTGCATGATGGAAAAAGGCACCATCTCCAGATGGCAGAGGTTCCACCTGTTCCTCAGTTCATTCATCAGTTTGAGTGCACCACCACACCTACCAGGCTGCTGCATAGACATCCACGTTGCATCCCATGTATTACTTTTCCCTTTAGCGTGCTCCTCTCCTAAGTGGCAATCATTCAATCCCCTAAGCCCATGACCGGCCAAGCTGAGCATTGAACCTACGTGAATGCAAGCGCTGGTTTTATGGGAACAACTTTCATCCTGCTGTTACGTAATTGCCAGTAATGCCGGATTGAGAGTTATTCTGGGACGTAAATTACACAAGTGCAAGCCACCTCACTGCAGGCTGTGTTAAAACCATCCTAGCATTCAACTAGGTGAAACCAGCTTTTTCCAGCGAGGTGGAGAAACAGTATTGACATCTAGGTAGGCTTATCTGAGGTGTCTTAAATAATTTAGGTCACTGCTGCAACTCTGCGGCTGTTTATAGCTTTCAGTACTGTTCTGTTTTGTCCTGGAAAGATACTGTTGTTAAAATGGCCAGCAGGCATCAAAGGTCTCTCTTCACTCCCAGATCAGCCCTCGATTGAGGAACTGATATTCCAATTATTTCACAACTTTAATCCTGTATAGCCTTCTCTACTGTAAAATACAATAATTTCCAACTGTAAAACACAATAATTTCCAACCACAAATCAAACAAAGCATATAAGGGCAGGGAAAAATTCTTGTAAAGCTAAAGTTTAAACTAAACGGTGATAACAAAGATCCTATTTTAAAGCTATGAACAACCTCAAATAACATACATGGGGATATTTTAAGAGGGATGCAATATAGCCTTGCAGCAAGTTGCCTTAGGTTAAGCATGCCAAATATCTACTAGGTTTTAGAGATGCAAGGCCCTTTAGCGCCTGTCACAAAGCATTAGGTAAGATTTTCTTCAGATGAGCCCATAATTTGTATCCCATATCTCTACATTTAGAAGTTTTCCTGAATGATGACACTGAGATATAGATTAGACTTTTCAAGCTCAAACCTCTTCAAAAAGATGTTTTTTTTCCAAAGTTTCCAATATTTGGGTTGAAACAAACTACATCTCTGAAATCACCTTTTTTGATTGATAAAACGTAGATCCCTTCATGTCAAGACCTAGTCTAGATAACAACTGATGTTAATGAGGAAAAAAGTCAGGCCTGTGAAGTTCACAAGGATGGGATTTCTATTTCTGTGTTTTTTCTCCTTAAAAGAAAGAGCATATAAAGAGCATATGAAATTTTGACCAACGTTGTGGAAAAGGAGCTGAAGAAATTCACCCTCCCTAGTTTACCTGGGCACTTTGGGTAGTGTTCACATGAGAGAGAAGTTCAGCTCAGTGACAGAAATATAAACCAATCTCCAAGGGATCAGGTCTACCATTAGCTTCTCATGCTATTAACTTTAATATTGCAGTTATTAAAATAATTATCAAAATAATTAATTTGTGGATTGAGCTGTTAAGTGACTCCTCTGTCCCGTAAGTGAATTACTCATGTTTATCATAGCTTTATGTGGTCTGTAAAGCAAGGAACTGAATCACATGTTTTTTTAGAAGAGTTCAAGACTATGTTAGTTGAGTTTGAATTGCTCTAAAAACAAAAATTTAGATTAATTTCTGTTTGGGAATGTAGTAATAATGACATCAACTGTTTTTTCCCTTGTTTGCTTTTACTGATTCAAGCTCAAGTCTGCTCTGGTAAAAGGAATTGCAATTCAGATTTCAGTTTCTCACTCCCTTGTTAAAATGTGAGGAGCCCCTGCAGCTCGTCCCCTTGGAACAATGTTTTTAGAGAACATCTATCAGAAGGGTTTTGTTCGTTTGTTTTTTAAAAAAACACTTTTCTTAACATTCCAATTTTCTGGTTTTGGTGATGATGACCAAGTCTGACAATAACTTGAAAGCCTTTGGGAAAGGTTCACGAAATAGCCAGAATACTAACACAAGTCACTATGGACACATCTCTTTTCCAAAATAGCTCTCCCCCATTAAACTTCTTCAGGCAAACAGCCTTCACCTATGCTTGACAAGGTAAAGATGGAGATAAGCTAAAGAAAAAGCCTTTTATCAATCAGTTGAGATATTTTCAGTGTGACAAGGATGCTGGGACAACCTGCCAGAGCTTCACACACACACAAAAAAAAAAACCACACAATAAATATTTCACTTGTCTCACTTTCCATAGGCCTTTTTATACTGAAGGACATTTTGTTTTTCACTTCTCTTACTTAAAAAAAAAAAATTGTTTAGGGCAAAAATGAATTCTAGCAGGAGCGAGAGCTAGAGAGAGGACTTGTGAAGAGACATTAGAAAGAGAAGATGACTTACCCACATGACCAGTCCGTGCAGGAGCTGATAAGACATAAAAAACAAGTAAATGGAGAGGGGTTATAAAGTGTCACAGCTCAGCCTTGCTGTTTTCATCATGCAGAATGATGATATATTTACACAAGTTAAATGCAGACACTCACCCACCCATCGCTTCCTTTGTATAGGACAGTTTCTGGAAAATAAACAAACAAACAAATCCTAAATATTTTTGAGAAAGATACATTGAAGGAACTGAAATGCAGTTTATATTATCTTCTTCACTCTCCTTTACCAAAACAGTTATATTTTCTTTGCTCATATATTTGCTAAGTTCAAAATCTCTTAGCAAATATATTTTGGTAATAGAGATAAAAAAAACCCACACACTTCACCTCTAGTGAAAGCAGAACACACCCAACATTTCCCAAATACAACACTGTGAAAAAGAGCAGGTTTGTAAGAAGATGCTCTACATTTGTGTTAACAGCCAGTGCTTTGCATTTCCTGAAAATCAAGTCCCCCTGTCTTTAGTTGATCACTTGACATTACTATACACCTTTGAAAATCCATGCTTAGTATTTTTTTTTTAACTGTCTTCTTACATAGATTTAAGGGAAGTAAAGCAAAGCGGTCAGAAATGGAGCCAGAAAATAGTAACCAGGTTCAACATCTCAACATCTCTGGTTTTGAATACAGGCTAACAGTAAGATCCTTTTCAGTAACAAGTCTTAGAAAATACAGCACTTTTCCTGCTACATATCTATAGGTTTAAAGCCATCCTTTTAAAATAGAGTTAAATTTTGTAGTAGGATTAATTTGATGACTCTGTTACAGAAGTGACAGGAAAGACATTTTTTTCATTTATTAGTATATCAAGGTTGATACGGAGATACACAGGTCGATATTTTCCAAATTCTTAACCAAAATCCTCATAATATTAGTGAAATTGGTTCTAGAAAGATTTGCAAGAGTTTCTGAGGGGAACTTGATGGAAAGGAGGAAATGGAGGAAATCCTGAGCACTGTGTGGTATACTGATAGCGGTACATCCTGTGACTACATCAGCGTAGGCGGAGTATAAATCATTTATGGAAGAAACAAAGTCTGATTTTCTCCCTTTTTTCTTTTTGAAAAAGATTTGAGGGTTCATTTATTGTGTTGACTTTAAGATATATTTTTCAGTAGAAACACAGCCCTAAGAAGGCCAACTTAAACGCCTACTCTTAAATCAAAGTACAGTGAACTTAACACAGTATTTCCACTGTGAAAACTCCTCTGCAAAATATCCACATGTGTTTAATGACCTAAGGACTGACACTCTATGATCTCCTGCTAACTTTTCCTGTGAAATACGAGTGAAAAAGGTAAAAGAGATTTTCCAAGCAAGCTAGCCTGCTTATTGTTTTAGCTCCTGTTTCTAAGGAGGTGCAGAGATCTAGTCTTCTATCAATCAGGAATCGCTGCAGTGTCTCTAACTTTTCTCTTTTTTCCAGGCCATCAGTGGGCAGCAAGTGCGATCACAACTGGAAAAGGCTCAAATGGCAGCCTGATCATCAGTCCTGTGTAATGCTGACTTTGGTCCACTCGCTTTTCTGTATGTTCTTTGGCCAAACTTAAGTGTACAAGTCCATCAAATGAAGGATTTGGAGACACCAGTTTTAAGTAACAAACAGAGAAACAAGCATGACTATGTAGTCTAACAGTGGCATTGCCTGAGATGTTCATTAAGGGACTGTTACAGTGCTCTATGCAGTGTCTCTGCTCCCCTTCAAAGCACTGTGATCTGCATTAATTCAGGCACTCACTCCCACCATCCAAGCTTTCAGAAATTCATATTCAACAAGCATTGCTTTTTGTGAGCATCATTTGATAATGAGATGGGAGGTGCTGCTTCTGTACTTAGTCATAACTAAGTTATGTAGGTGCTATTAACAACAAAATTACTTCTCTGGAGCTCCATATATCTTTTAAAGACCACTGCTAGTCAGTACGCAGCACCTTAACTCACTAGGCCCCAAAGACCAGCAGCAGCAGTGGCCGCTACAATCACATCCATTGTACAGAGCAAGGAGATGGAGATCTCCATGGAGGTCCAGGAGATGTGGCCAAGGCTGCACCTCGTGGCAGCACTGGAGACCTGGTAGCATCTGTCTTTTCCAGATGAAGGTCCAGGATTACCCACAACATCATGGCATAGCCAAATCTTGCTCTTCTATAAACTGTAAGGATTAAGACCTGACCAAATCTCATACACCCTGTATGACTTTAATGGTCAAGAAATACAAACATGACACAACATCTTCACAGCTACATTTTAAGCCTATCAAGTTACTCAGGTCTGAATTTTGTAGTAAACTACAAAAATTTGTTGATACTAATACAAAGCTTAATATTGCATGGGTTTTGAACAGCCCCTTCCGGGGGTAGATGGATTACTCCTTAATTCRCCTAATTCCAGACAGATTATCATCTTCCCTTTATAAATTGAGACTTTTGCAAAGGAAAATAATTTTAAATAAATATATGCTTTAAATGACTGTTTAAATGACATAACTTCACAGTTTTCTTGGACAAATAATAACACCCAACTTGATTCAATGGCATCTCCATTTGAGAAATAAGGTTTATATATATATATATATGCTCATAATAATGATCGTTTCAGCTGAGGATGTGAAAATGAAGTATCCCCCCTTTACTAACCCAATACAGTCTGCAATATTTTGTAATATGATTGCTTTCCTTTCTCTTGAATATCTACTTTGCATTCCAGTCTGGGGCAAGGACAAGTCCTGACATACTTAATTTCATGGCAAACAGACACCTTATTGCCCTAATTAAAAGTCAAGGGGTCTAGAACTCTAATTTTGGCTCCGCTGCTCATTTAGTACAGAATAACCAATGCCAAATCATCTCACCCCTCTGACTCAGCTCCTTCACGTGCAAGATGCAGTTATAAACATGTTCCTACCTACCGCACGAGGATCTGCAAGGACTAATTAACATCTCTACCCTTCGAGCACTTGGTGTGATCTATAAATAGCTGTGCATAGTAACCTCACCGAAGCCAGAGGCGGTGGCTTTCACTCAGAGAAGCTGCCTCTGCAGATGCTTTGTATAAAATCAGTTTAATCTGAAGAATACTTCTCTAGTATTATTGTACCAGCTTTCCAAAAGCTGGCAAGTTGGCACTAGTGTTTCCCCTTATCAACAAGCTGCACTTAGTTTTATATAATGAATAATTATTGCAAGTTAAATTGCTCCACAGCATTAAAAACAGACTACAGCAATCACTGAATGACAAATATTACTGACTGCATGTGTGAACTTATGCCACCACACAGAGATTTTCCATAACCCGTGGAAAAACAATCACAAAAGATGCTTATCCAGCCCTAGAAGATGATCTTCATGCACAGAAGACAACGTATCTTTCTTGGGGATAATTCCAGACAGGGAAAGAGGGTAGGAGGAAACGTCAAGGAGATTTTAAATAATCTCATAGTAGTTTAATCCCATGCATGTAGCAGATCTCCTTGATTCAGCACAGTTGTGCCAGTGCACAGGAGAGCCCCATGAAGAAGCACCTCCCTCCTGGTCAGCCCTTGGTTGGCTGCAGCAACACGGTGTTCATAGAGCCAGCGTTGAAGCCCAGAGTGGGGGTACTCAAGGATGATGAAGAGGACAACATTTGGGAGCCAAAGCTGGAGGGAAAGGCCAGAGTGGAGAATGGTGCTCTGAGGGACACACTGGCAAGTAACAGGGAGGTGTACAGTGAACAAGGGCTGGGCTTAGAAGAATGGAGAGTTTTAGCCACAGTCAGTTTGAACCATAGGCTAAAGGTCCCCAAGAAAGCATCAGAGATGAGCTAAGGGTCCAGTCTGCCCAGAGGGAACTGGCTCCACAGAAGCACATAAATGGCTCCTCAGTCTGTGATGTTCTTAGTCTGTGTATACATTCAATAAAAATAGAGAAAGACACCCTTAGCAAGGAAGACCACAGAACAGGTGGAGGACAGACATCAGCTTTCTGCCCCACAAGAACCTTATGAAGACAAGATCTGCTACAGCATGAAGTGGTCAGAAACTAGCATCACGGGAGCTGGAGATTACAAACAGCTGCCTTCACTGAGGTGCTTGATCTTCCCTTTGAACCCAGTTCAGGCAAAATCATGTTATTTTACACTGCTGAGTGCCCACTTAGCAAGTGAAGGTAGTATTTTGATACACCATCCACTGAGGCAGCCTAAAGCAGAGCTGCCTACTACTGCTTCCATCTCACTGAGCAGCCAGTCCGTGATCCCAACACACTGAAACAAGCAGATTTTCTGAAGGACTGAAGAATCAAAGCTAAAATATATTGCTGAGTTAATACAATTGCTTTTTTTATTCCTTAATCTAGCTGCTTTTAAAGCTTTATTTCGGTAGGTCCTTCGTTTTCCTCTCTGCTTTTAATTTCTGAGAGGAAGTTGTGTTACAAACACCTTCCAGTGGCTAACTAAGCTTACACCCCACTATAAGGTGTGCACAGCTCTCAGTACTCAGAGTTCTCCCTCTTTTCAGCATCCAAAAAGGAAGTATATATATACACTTTCTGCTATTTGATAGAAATACGAAGAAATAGCATGCAGRTCATGCAAGTGCTATAGAGGTCTCATTCAAACAGAATGAACTAACAAACAGGGATGGTCTAGTTGGARATGTGAGGACTGGGGGCAGTCTTGGCTGCAGTGACCATGTTGGAATTCACGATCCTGCAAGGAGGAAGCTTGGCAAGAAGTCAGATTGCAATCTTGCACTTCAAGAGAGCCAACTTTGACCTCTTCAGTGACCACCTCAGAGGTATCTCCTGAGCAAGGGTCCTAGAAGGAAAGAGGGTCCAGAAGAGTAGGCTCATATTCAACCACCACTTTCTCCAAGCTCAGGATCTGTATATCCCTACAAGAAAGAAGTTAGTCAAGGAGTGCAAGAGATGTATGTAGATGGCCAAGATGCTCTTGGAAAAACTTTAAAAGAGAGCATACATAGTGTGGAAGAAGGGTCAGACCACCTGGTAACAATATAGAAACGTTGTCAGAGAAGTCAGGGATGTGATGAGGAAGGCCAAGGCCTGTTTGGAATTGGAGTTAGCAAGAGATGTCAGGGACAACAGGAAGGGCTTCTACAAATACATCAGCAGCAAGAGAAACACTTGG